AATTACCTGCTTACCAACAACTTTCAAATTACTAACTGGTGTGGTAGCTGATGCAGTACAACAGCATCTAGTTGAAAACAATCTCTTTCCACCTGAGCAGAAAGGAAACCGCCCCAATAGCAGAGGAACAAAAGATCAACTCCTAATAGACAAAATGATCTTGGAAAACTGCAAGAGAAGGAAGACCAACCTGAATGTGGCATGGATTGACTACAAAAAGGCATTTGACTCTCTGCCACATGATTGGATAATAAAGTGCCTAGAAATAACAGGAGTCAGTAGAAACATCAGAAAATTTGTGCAAAGATCGATGGCACAATGGAAGACACAGTTGCAGATCAATGGTGAGAGGCTGGGAGAGGTTAATATCAAGAGAGGAATATTTCAAGGAGATTCATTATCACCATTACTATTTGTTATTGCACTGTTTCCTCTGTCAACAATACTGAATAACTCAGGACATGGCTATCAAACATCAAAAACATCTGCCAGACTATCCCACCTCCTTTATATGGATGATCTGAAGCTGTATGGAAAAACATCATCTGAAATAGAATCGCTGCTCAACACTGTCCGTATATATAGCCAAGATATTGTAATGGAGTTTGGCTTGGACAAATGTGCCACACTTACTATCAAACAAGGAAAAATAGTGAAAACTGAAGGAATCAAGATGCCCCACGAAAATAACATTAAGAGTCTGGATGAGGAAGAGTACTACAAATACTTGGGTATCCTTCAAGCTGACAACATCAAGCACACTGAAGTCAAGAAAAAGATTAGAGGTGAATACATCAAGAGAGTGAAGAAGATCTTAAAGTCCAAACTCAATGGAGGAAATACCATAAAGGCAATCAACACCTGGGCAATCCCAGTCATTAGGTACACAGCTGGAATAGTGGACTGGACTCAAGCAGAACTAAAAGCAATGGATAGGCAGACCAGAAAAATAATGACAATGAATCATGCCCTTCATCCACGCAGTGACATTGATAGACTTTATCTACCAAGGCAAATAGGTGGGCGTGGAATGCTACAAGTACATCAGATGGTTGAAGAAGAAAAAATGGCTTTGGAAGAATATCTGAAGAACAATGATGAAGATGCACTGAAATTAGTATATCAGGAAGGCTTACTAACTACTGGAGAGACCAAACTGGCCTACAAGAAAGACCAAATGAAGAACAGAATAGAGGCATGGGAAGACAAAGCACTACATGGCCGATACATGAAAAAAATAGCTGGGAAAGCAGATAATAATAAAACCTGGCAATGGCTAAGAGCAGGAAAATTGAAGAAAGAGACCGAGGGACTAATTCTGGCTGCACAAGACCAAGCCTTAAGGACAAATGCATACAAAGTCAAAATTGAGAAGACAGCAACAGACAGTAAGTGCCGCCTATGCAAAGAAGCTGAAGAAACAGTGGACCACTTGGTAAGCTGTTGCAAGAAGATTGCACAAACTGATTACAAGCAGCGGCATGACAAAGTAGCAACAATGGTGCATTGGAAGATCTGCAAAAAATATCATTTGCCTGTAAGCAAAAACTGGTGGGATCATAAAATAGAGAAAGTCATAGAAAATGATAAAATTAAACTGCTCTGGGACTTCAGAATTCAAACAGACAAGCACCTGCAACATAACACCCCAGACTTAACAATTGTCGATAAGAAAGACAAAAAAGTCTGGATAGTGGACGTGGCAGTGCCTGGAGATAGCAGAATAGAAGAGAAAGAACTGGAGAAGATAACAAAATACAAAGACCTACAAATAGAAATAGAAAGACTGTGGCAAAAGCAAGCAAGGGTAGTACCAATAGTCATAGGCTCCTTGGGTGCAATCCCAAAACAACTGGAGCACCACTTGAACACCATTGGCATTGACAAATTCGCTATTAGTCAATTGCAAAAGGCGGCCTTATTAGGAACTGCTTCCATCCTGCGACGATATCTGTAATACCATCAAACATCCACATCTGCCTATCCCAGGTCCTGGGTAAGGACTCGATAGGTAGACAAAATGCCAAATCCAGTCTGAACATCTGGCTGACTGTGCGATGATCGATAATAATAATAATAGAGTTGGAAGGAACCAATCCCCTCCTCAGGCAGGAAACCCTATACCATTTCAGACAAATGGTTTTCCAGTCTCTTCTTAAAACTTTCAGTGTTGGAGCATTCACAATTTCTCTAGGCAGGTTGTTCCATAGATTGTTTTAACTGTCAGGAAGCTCCGATGGATCGACTTGTGAGTATTTACGACACAGATTTGTAGTTCTGCCGATCACACACACAAGCTGCAATTCCATGACTAAATTTCAGGTTCTCATAACCAGGCATAATACAACCATTTGCAGTGCCTCACAGTCACATGAGGATGTTTTATAATAGTGGTGAATATCTATAGCTCAGGTGTAGGATGAGGGTGAAGATTTGTTCTCTGACTTTGTGGGTTGGTTTCTGAATGTTTCATTACCAGGCTAGGGAACATCTTCAGTGGAGTTTACGGGATATTAGTGTCTGTGTTCTGCTGTTTATAAGGGCTTCAGGTGTGAGTGTGTCAGGTGAGGATGTTGTGATGGGTCAGGAGTGAGTGATCAGTGAGAAGCTTGTGTTGGGTCTCCTCCTCCCTGACACTGACATCCCCTAAACACTGCTGGAGATGTTATCTAGCCTGGTAACAAAACATTCAGAAACCAAGTCACAAAGTCGGAGAAAGAACATTCACTCTCACATAACCCAATGTTTTGGCTGCGGAATTTTGGGAGTTTAAATCCATGTTTCTTAAAAATGGACAAAGCTGAGACACACTCATAATCATAACCATAATAACACTCCAGGAAAGAATGACAAGCAAGAATTCCACAAAGAAACATAATTTGTTTTGGGGAATCGTAAATAGAACCAATGGTATGGATGAAGTAATATATTTGTCAAAAGAGTAAGGTACTCTAAAAATGACTGTAAAACTGGACTTTTGATATTCTGGCAATATTATCAAGAATTAAAATTGAGAATATTTTGCTATATTGACCACCAAACATGAAGTGTAAATTACTGGATGAATATAAACAATCATAACCCTCCTCCAACCTTTTGAACTCCATTTCAGACTTGGTCCTTAATTCTCTCTCTTGCTTGCTTTGGGAGATAAGTAAACAATCATTTTTGCCATTATCTTAAGGTGTGATTAACAATTCATGTATATTTTATTATGCTGGCTTCTTTAAATAATAATTTGATAATACAATTGCTTGCTTTGTTCTGTAAGAGATCTGGGTTTTAGTAAAAGAAGAAGGAAAGGCAATTTTGGCATCACAGAATTATTTATAACATAATTCCTAGCCACTTAAAATTTTAATAGACATTATGCCTTAGAAAAGATTATTTTTTTAAAAAAACAGCCTAATATATCTTTAACAGCTAATTCTAAAGTAGCTGCATTTTAGAATAGTAACTTGTCATTTTTTCTGTGAAACATATATATTTGTCTATGTCTTCTGCTGCATTGGTGAACATTACCATATTGTTCTTTGTAACTGAAGATGCTGGCTTGAATCAAACAGTACCCTTAATGAATAGAAATAGGTTTATAACTGAGCTGAAGAAGTTGAAAATTTCTCTGAAATGCTTACCCCCAATATGAATCAAATTCCACCATCCAGACCTCTGAAAACCAGCTATTGAGAAACATTCTAGACTGCACTGAGAACAAGAAAAAGGACATTAGTGTTCCTTAAATAGGTTCCTGTTCAGAAGTCATCGAATATAGATTAATAGATTATATTCCATCCAACATGTTCTGTTATCCCAATATTAAAACCATGAAGATGAGATATATTTCTCCATTAGTAAGTGAATATGCTTGCTAGCCAATTATTGTTTAATGCTAATACAAATATTTATTTGTTTGTTTGTTTCTCAAATCTGTATAATTGCCCATCTCACTAAAAATGAATTTGGGCAGTGCACAAAGTTAATATGTATTATACTCTTATTTGCCAATGAAGTCTCAGTTCAAGAAACTAAACTCGGTACACTAAACAGAATATGCAGCATAATTACCTTTTTTTCCCCTATCTGCATAAGGGCAGATTTTGGCAAGAGGTGCTACAAAACAAAACCATAACTTTTGCCACTCCCTAAGATACAATAAAGAAACCAACCTAATTTATTCAGTCATATGGTTCTGGTGCAGTTGCAAATTCAGTCAAATTCATTTAATACCATTTCATTTCAATTTACAATTAATTAAGTCTTGTACTTGTGATTTCAATGGAACTGACTCTTTAGCAGCTGCCTATAGGGAGTAGTGGGGCATCGACAGAAAGTTGGGGGTTTCCTCTTTGCCTTTCATTCTGCCTGCTAACTTCAGAGTCACACATTCTGTCTTTCTTTTCAGAAATACAAGCATTCATTTCTTGACTACAGGGGTTCAGCCTGAGCAAAAGATGTCATTCTACTTGTAGACAATTGCTCCTATGTGAAGGTAGAGTAATCAACTTGGTGCACAAAAAACAGAGTATGCACCTCCATAAGTCTGCCAAGAAACCGTGTGGCATGAACTTTGGGAAAGATGAGCCAAACCCAACAGTCTTGTTTGAGAACCATCAATGATTATTCAATGAGAATACTAAACCCAAGTGCACATACATTAAGTATGACTTTATGAGATATGCTTTAAGAAAAGGGATTTGTTAAACAGATACTGCCCATAAGAAGAAACATTGGCAGATGGACTCATGAAGCCTTTGCCCACAGATTGACAGAGTGTTCTTCAAGAGAGTATGGGAGTTCTGAATCAGTATGTGAGGCCACGAAAGGCAGGCAGTAGACTGTAGGTAGTTAGGGATTTGTCCTGAACTTGTCTTTCATTCCGTCTGCTTTTTGTTTATGAGGTTGGTAATCTCAGAGTCTTTTTTTCTGCCTTTGTTCCTCTATCTAGATGCATGCATTCTTAAGTATACTGGTAGGATATAGCTAGTTAAATGCTAGGTCTTTTTGCCTGATGCTGTATTTCTTCAATTTTTTTTGTTGTTGTTGTTAAAATTAAAAAGCCTGCTCAGGTTAGTTTCCAGCTTTGAGGAATACTTTCCATACAGACAAATTTGCTTCCTTTCAATTTTTAAAAAAAGTGGCATATTAGATCATATGAGTAGATAAAAATGCTTCAGTTTGTCAGCACTCATAAGCATCTCATGCCCAGTGCCTGCTTCCTTCTCAAGGCATTTTTGACTTCCCTGTTCCTCAAGCTATAGATCAAAGGATTCAGCATTGGAATTACTATGGTATAGAAGATGGAAGCCCATTTGTCCTGATCCAGAACATAGCTGGAACTTGGGCACAGATACATAAAGATGGTTGTTCCATAGAAGATGGTTACAGCTGCCAGGTGGGAGGCACATGTTGAAAAAGCCTTTTGTTTCCCCTCAGATGAGTTAATCCGCAAGATTGCTGTCAAGATGAATGCATATGACACCACAATTTCTGTTGAAGTAAATATACCCAGGATAGTTGCAAAAACGAAGAGCACCATTTCATTCATGCTTGTGTCAGTGCAGGAAAGAGATAGCAAAGGGGGAACATCACAGAAAAAATGGTTGATGATATTGGAGCCACAAAAAGAGAGCTGAAAGGTAGAAGCTGTTTGTGTCACTGCATTCACCAAGCCAATGAGATAAGATCCAGCCACCATCCCAGTGCACACTTTGGGAGACATGGTAACCACATAGAGGAGAGGATTACAGATAGCCACGTACCGGTCATACGCCATTGCTGCCAGGAGGATACACTCAGTACTCGCACAGAAAATGAAGAAATACATCTGTGCAGCACAATCAGCATATGAAATGCTTTTCTTGTCTGCCAGTATGTTAGCTAGCATTTTAGGGGCAATAGCTGAAGAATACCCAAAATCTAAGAAAGACAAATGACTGAGGAAGAAATACATAGGGCTCTGGAGCTGAGAGCTTATCTTGATTAATATGATCATCCCAAGATTGCCAGTCAGTGTAATTAAATAGATAATTAGTATCATGATAAAAGAGAGCAGCTCCATATTTGGACTATCCACTAAACCTACAAAAACAAATTCAGTCATCATTGTGTGGTTTTCTTCAACCATTTCTCTTCAGTAATTAGAAACTGTTGAAAGACTAGTATCTGTTTCTTCAATGGCATCAGATCTGTAATATATAAAAAAGGATATTTTTATAAGGATCCATATCTTTTTCCAAGGCTTTGCTTAGCTGCCACTGATAACACAATGCATCAGGATGTGTAATGAATCAGAGCAAAGACCTTTGGATTTAATCATAAGGAAAATATTCCTCAACAATCCTTTTTCTGATATGTCCCCCTGACACTGTTTTTATCTTATCTCCAACCCATGCCAGAGGCAGCATTAACCAAACCTTAGCTTTTCTGCCCTTAAAACAGTATTTTTCTCTGAAGCAGAAACCATGATAATTTTACTGCAGATACAATCTGAGACACTTCATTGATCATTCGGTGGGTGGTGAAGCCAAGTAACTCCTAGAAGATGGATCTATACTTGGAGAGTGGAGTTCTTAAGCACCTATTGATCATGTTAAGTTGATAGACTCAAATCACTCTCCTGTCAGTCCCTCATTACTATTCTCTGAGGACTTTTTGATTGGGGAAGGAGGAGAGTGTGCTTCTTTCAAACTGCACTCTCCCCAAACTGAACCAAAAGTCTTGGGTTTGAAAGAGAGTCCATCACAGGGGGAAGTCTGAGAAGTGAAACCAGCTTTGTTTCTGCTGTGTCATCCATAGCAATGATCTGCTCTGAGTCAAGTTTATTCTGAGCACAGATTTAATGCTCTGTGGCATATAAACTAACTTAGCTTCCAAATAAACCTGGTAATAGCTAACTGGCAGTGGCAATGGGAGACAACTGCTCAGCTGTTAGCCAAACTCATTTCCAACGCACTGACCCAAAACATTTGCAAGCCTAAGTGAATTTTGACAGATGGTTAAACCTGCCATTCAAGTTGTCAAATCTCAATTCCTCCCCAGTACAGCCTCAGCTCTTGTAAGGATTATGACTCGTGGTGCCTGGCAGGAAGGATGGGAAACAAAGCTAGGGGAATCCACAAGTCCATTTCCTTAACTATTGGTGCATGAAATGAAGACACCATTATTTAGTGGCAACCCAGAACAGAGTTTACAGAGGCAGGATTGGGAGCAGTACTGAGGGTTCAAGGTCTAGCAGACAGCATTTTCACTGGGCAGCATGGAAAGACTCTAATAATATTTAAGGACAGAATAAACTTGACATGGGAAGTCATTTAACAGTATCTCAGTCTTAAATCATTTATAGTGGTATATAGCTATACACATTTTCTAAATTTCTATTTCTGTATTATTGTAGCAATAAAGGTAAAAAAAACTCTTGCTGAATGAGTGTTAAGAACCTAGTTAGCACATCATTCTGTTTTTACAATAGTCAAGAAGATACCTGTGAAATACTCAGGTTATGAGGACAGTAGCACGCAATTGTTAATCAGAAGTATACTATTGGTACTGAATTTTATAGCAACTGATGTCCAGCTCTTCTCTAGCAGTCCTGTGCAGGCATTCTTTTCTATAGAATTTTGGACAACTTCTTTCAGACAGGGGAATTCTTACACTTCATCAGTATACAATCCATTTTGCTTCTGCTTATAGTGCGACTTCCTAGACACACGGTGAGGAAACAGACCTGTGTATAGCAAACCTTTAAAATCGGATCCATTTAGAAAGAAAGATCCTATGATCTACAGAAAGTGAATCTGGGCAGATTGAGATTAGATCATTAAAAGATATGCAAGTATTTTAAAAATAATGCAGTAATAAATACAATTCAGAATGGATTGATCAAGAATAAGTCTTGCCATTCTAACATATTAATTTTGAACAGGTAACTTCCTTAGCAAGTTGTGTAGTAGATATATCATGATTTCAGCAGAACAGTTGGCAAAATATCCCATGACATTCTGATTTGCAAGCTAGGAATTGAAAAGATTGAAAGCATTTTTAGATACCTGAACATAAGATTATACTGTTTGCTGAAATTATCTGGAGACAGCTCTTCTTGTCCAAACCAGTTAATGGTAGAAATATTCTGAACTGTAACTAAGATCTTGTATATTCAGTTTGATTCAGTGGTCATGCAGGTATCCTTCATATAGGAAATCCTTATGATCCAAACAACTGGTTCCCTAGCAGTAACACTCAACTAGTTTTTTTTAATATTATCAAGGGTAATGTGCTACTTTTACTGTTGCTAAATGAATTTTCAAAGGAACAGGAATAATTCTCTTAATTGCTTGTGTTCCTGTGTGTGTGTATGCCTGTGTCTGTGATCTATGAATTTTACAGTAAATAGGTCTACAGAGATAATGTCCACAAATGCTTTTAAGACTTTGTTGGCTCTTCATTGATTGATTGTTTGATTATATGCCATAGATCAGTGTCAACTGTCAGTAACCATATAGGTAGACCTTCTCCAGGATGATCTGTCCTGAATTAGATTTAAGGTTTAGGTTTTCCAATAGTGCATCTAACACCAGTGTAATCAAATTGATCCATTTGGCTCCTTCTATCCTTTCCTTCCATGTTTCCCAATACTGTGGATTGATTTATCCAGGTGAAGCTGTAACTGTTTGCTAGATTTTTGATTGAAAGGATACTCAAGGTGACAATGAGCAACATTTGAGAAGTACAATATTTCATACCTGGAAAAAGATGTCCAGACTGGATTTTTGCTCTTCAGCAGATTATTGAGAAATGTATCAATTTAGAGAACATTCATGATGAAGTGGATAGACTTGATTTATGGGACAATTTTCCTAAATATGAAAATAGGAAGTTAAAAGTCATTAGAAGAAGTTAGATACTTAGTAGATGATTCAACAGCCCTAAGCATGAAAGCTGGCTGGGTCAATCATTTTCTCTTATAGTCCACAATGTCAAGTTTGGATAACAAGCCAGTCAGTCAATTCCTGTCACAACCAATGGATCAATACTTGGTTGATCCAAAAAAAAGCAGACCATGAACTTGCAGGAAAATGCTAGGAAGAAAAAAAAAGAAAATAGGAGAAAAATGTGTGATGTTCTCTTACTTGTTTAATGCATGTGTATGTAAATGTATAAGCAATGCTTTTGTGATATATTTGGGATGGGGCCATAAATGTTTATGAATACCTCTGTATGTGGAGGATGCCCCATTGCTAACTGAGAGATTGAATTATTGCAGCAAACTGTATGATGCAATGAGCAGTATGAAAAAATATTTGTGCACATTTAGTTAAAAGAGTGATTGATGGCACATTATGCATATATGGTGAAAACCTCAAGCAAGCAGATGAATTTATGGGAAATAAATTGGAAGCCTCTTTACCAAACAAGAGAAAGTGGATGTATATGAAAATGACAGCAGAAAGATAGTAGGTCACATATGGTCTGTTACAAGGAATGAATATTTATTGAAAGATATATTAATGGATGAGTGCATGATGTGCTTTTTCCCACTTTCTTTATTTGGAAGTGAGAGTCAGGTGTCTCAGAAGAGACATAGAAGGAGTTGAATGCAATGAGAATGGGGTACTTAAGTGGGTGGTAAAACAAGAAGCAACTGTCAAGAATAAATGAGTGGTGAATAATATGGACTGAACACATAAGTGAGTGACTAGTATAAAAGAAGTAAATGAGGTGGTCTGGTTCTCTAGAAAAAAAATGAATAAAGATCAGATTGCAAAACAAATATAAATGGAAGAGTGAAATGGCTGGGAATGAGCGGAAGACCAGAATAAGCATCATTAGATAGAGTTGATACAATCCTCAAAACATGGAAAAGATAAATGTAAAAAACAAAATATAATATGTGAAATGGAACAATGATATGCTGGAAATAAGAATGATTTTCAGAGAAAGAAAGGTATGCAGAGGTGCAATGAATGATATTGGTGTAAACTAGATTTTCTTTTCTACTTCTTATTTCATTTCTTCAAATCATTTAGCATACTATTTCTTATTCCTTTTCTGTACTTTGTATAGCACTGCTTATTCCAAAAGAGAATAGAATGATGGGTACATATATACACACAAATAAACACACACACACACACACACACATTTATTAGCAGATACAACAATTCCCAAGAACTTGGTAGCTGAGAATATCAGGGGATAATATCCCAGATGGCATCAAATAGCATTTAAGCTTTCTCCTTCTACTTGTTGAATCTGAAACTAAGGAAAGAAACATTTGCAATATTCCTGGTAAGTTATCTATTATTAACAATACAAACTACATTAAAAATAAAAATTTAAGTCCAAGATGGATTTCACATGTTTTACCATCATACAAGACTTTTTGTATTGAGTTTGTATAAGAATTTGACACTAAAAGATAATTTAGATGGCTTTGTCTATACATCAATTGGCAACTGAGGCTTGCCAAAGTCAGATTCATTTGTAATACTGAAATACTTAGATATTTCTTGGGACTTAATTCCACGCGTACATATTTTTGTGTAATTGCGTGATACAACTTTTGCAGCAAATGTGATTATCAGCATACATAACTTTAAGGTAGTGAATTCTTGCTTTCCATCTCACCTAAAAGAAAACTTATAGGGCTTATCTTCAGTTTGACATTTAGATGTTCAAATTTTAAGAACATTGTTATAAGAATAAATTTTCTTGCAAATCATTTTAAAGATCTAATTTTGGATTAGAATATTGTAAACTGTACAGGCAGAATCTTACTGAATGACTGTCATGGTTCCCACAGACAGAGACATCTTTCCTATTCATTTTTGCTTGGCAATGATATTCACTGATAAAATCTTTTTTTTTGTAATATATTTTATTGTTTTTTTTAAACATAAATCACTTAATAATTGGTGAACGGTGTGGTCTGGGTTTACATTTGTAAAAGAATCACTAACAATTGATTTCTATAATCCATAATAACATAATGGTTTTAGTTGATTTCCTCTTTTCCCAAAATATCCTCTTTTGCAAACATTGAGTTAATACAATTCGTATTGTTTTGATAACAATTCAATATATTTTTTTCCCAATATTCCTATAAATAATCACATAAATATATTCTGGTTGCCTTATCATAGAT